AATAAAAGTGTCGTAAAGTAAATCTTTTTTCTCAGTGCTGATTGAAAACTGCGCGCACTTCCACGCGTAAGCATTTGTGTGTGTGTGTGTGTGTGTGTGTGTGTGTGTGTGTGTGTGTGTGTGTGTGTGTGTGTGTATAGTATTATAATTTCATCAAAATTATACTCTGTTGAACAGTAAATTGTGACTGAGTGATTGAGGACGTTGTAAAGGATGACATTATTTCCAAATAACTGCACAGCAATGAAGTTGGCCAAAGTTTGTTCCAAATTTATGAACCTTTTGACACTTGTATCAATTCTCCACCTTGAACTTCAGGCTAAATTTAACTGTCAATTTGCGTTAGTCGCAAACATTGGATGTGAAGGCTTAAAATTGACACAACATGCTGGGGTTTAAGTCTTAATGTCCTTGAGGACTAGGCCCGGGAGATGATGATGATGATGATGATGATGATGATGATGATGACGATGATGATGAAGATTATTATTATGATTATTGTTATTATCATTAATCAATTCATGACATTCCCTGACAAATATCGCAATAGCCAACACCGTTTCCTTTACGCATGTTTTTTTTTTTCTTCCCCCTCCGGAAGAAGCCGGTCAAGGACCAAGCTAGTGGACGGCTAAAAGTGACGTAGAAACCTTTTATTGCAGCCAAACCTAACGGTATAACGAACGTTCAGCGTCCTACCACAAACTTGAAATCCTCATATAGACGTATAATTGAACAAATCGCGGCAATCCATATACCCATTATCCACTCGCATATTTACTATTGAAGAGCCGTGAACTTGAACTTGACGCACTCTTGAGGGCCGCAACAGAACTGAAAACAAATGTGAAAGTGAAATAAGGGACGTTAGGCCCATGAAGCAACTTTTCAGATACCTCATAAGATCTTACATTATTATTATTATTATTATTATTATACAATCACGCCTGGACCACAGACTTAGGCAAGCTATTTGACGGAAGAAATGCATCGCAGCTGAGCACAGATTAGTAGAGGGAATTATTATTTTTTTTTCCTCTGCTCGAACGACCGCAGTCTACAGCTATCAATCACTTTCCTTCCAGGGACAACCATACACTTTGTTTTACTACAGGACTGATACGCATGATAGACCAATATGCAGCACATTAAATTTTTGTCAAAGGTAAAAATAAATAAATAAATAAATAAATGCAGAATAGGCATGTTTGTCTGCAGGCAAGCTAAATAGCTAAATAAATAAATAAATAAATACCGGCATGAGTTATGGTGAATTAAGTACACAACATGGACTAGTTATTGCCGGCCTTCAGGACAGTGCGCTGGCAGCCAAATAATCTTCCAGACATCTGTACGCCATTCAGTCCTTTAAATGTTTTCCCCCCTTTAAATAGGCTACGCCAGAATAATCAAAACGGGGAAATAAATATTGCGGATTTTTGGCGGCAAAACTTTAAACTTAACTTTTGAAGAGGCTAAAAAGATGCTCACAATGCAAACGGTTGTTGAAAAGAAGTTCACAGTACAAATGATTTGATTCCCGCGTTAAATTTAGTACACGCGGTACACTATCACACCCAAAGTATTTTCATGTTTTGGATATTTGCTCATTTAATAAAATTATATTAATTCTAAGTTGCATATTTTTTTCTGAGTCATTTTACCAACGAACCTGTTGCATGCAACTGTGAGAGCATAATTTATTATTAGGCTATTACATATTTATATTTTTTTTTTTTTTTTTTTTTGAGGCGTGATCAACCTCAACCGAAAATGAATGAATGAATGAAAATAAGGCTTTACTCTTTGTGAGACTTCTACTCTAATGGTTGTACCACGATCGTATGACGACAAGCCTATACGGCAACTACTGCTAATAGGCTACTATTGGGCCTTTAAGTAGGCTACTCTATTCCCCCCAAAAATGTGGATATTTGTGAACATGTGTAACATTAACGAGATACGATGAGCGAAATAAGCAGAGTGCAAAATCTTCTGTTTTAATCCACCGATATTATCGTCTATCGTAGGAAAATAACCCTTCGTGGGTGGTTAAATTCTAAATTAATTTTGAGAATGGCAAGGTGAAATGATAGTTTATCACAGAAGAAAAACTTCATGTTACTGTCGTTTTCAAGTAGCCATAATGCATGGCAGATTTTTAATTTGCGATATTGTGAACGAAGATAATTATTCATTTATCTTCTTCATTATAGGCCAAATTGCGTACAATAGGGTCTCCTATTTGATTGAAATTGCCCTCTTACATGAAAAGACAGCGCAGTAAGGGAGCAATTAGTCGTAAAAATAAGTAGGTAAAAGTGTTTAAACGTGGTTAAAAATAAGCAACAACAACAACAACAAACACTTTGACAAAGATTAACAGAACTGTCGTATTGATTATCCAAAACTGACAAGGCCCAATCTACGCAATGATGCTGGGAAATATTTGTCATATCCGTCGAATGTAGCTAGTTAGATTTTAAAGGTTCCCAATTATGTCACCAGGTACACAACCAATCAGCCATCACAATCCATTTCAAAATCTGTCATTCCTGACATCACAAAGGGGAGTGACCAATGATGAAGAAACTGACTGGTTGGTTGAAGTTGATAAGTCCATCTTGCCTCTGGGTGGTCACTTCCCCGTGTGATGTCAAGATGGAAAAGACTTTGAAATGGTTTGTAACGGCAAATTGGCTGTGCACCTTGTGACAACTCCAGCAGATCTACAGTAGTTCCACTTTGGCACAATAGTGCGCATAATATGGGGAGTGATTGCATCTGTTGAATATCTTGAATGTTTTTTTCAACTATTTGAACTCATTCCCAACATTAAAAACATGTGGATGTAATATCATTTGCATTCATATCCAGCTAATATTTGTGCCGAAGAGTCACCTGACTCATCACGCTGACATAAGCAAAACAAAGTTTCTGTCTTTTAATAATGAATTTGTTTAGCCTAAGTATCATGCAATTCAATAATTATTACCTTTAATGTATTTCTGAACATTGATCATTGTCTTCTGAATACTTCAGTAGGCCTATCCTATTATAGGTTAGGCTGTAGCAAGGAACGTTATTGAATCATGTGTAGACATTTTGAAAACTTCTGGTAATGCGTGGAGCGAGTTAAGTTGCCCCATTGGTAAGCTGACTCACTGCATCTCCATCCCAAAAGGCATGACCTCAAAAACTGACCTGCTTCTTTGCGTGACTACATGTTCTGAAGTCAGCATACTGATTACAAATTGTCACGGCTACATTAATCTGAGATGAAATTAAAGTTTTAGAATTGTTCATTTCACATTTTATGTTAAAAAAAAAAAACAAAACAAACAGTTTTTCTCAAAATAACAGATAAAGTGTTTTTGATCATTTAAGTTCTTTGTGCAGTAAGCCTTCTGTTAGGGCAGGTCATCACAAGTGCACATCCTTAACTGACTTTAATACCACACTAAAATGAAGAGAGATAAAATGCATGCAAGACTCTATTCAGCTATCAAATGAACCGAATGTGAAAATGACAAAAAAGGCCTGACAACACAAGTTTGACACTATGAAAATGTTCATGATATTATTTTGCACATTCGATAATTTCACAACAGCGCCGAGCATGACCATGGAAATTGATCAAAGAACAACAAATAATGGATATTTCTAATGAAGTTAATTATCCTCTCATCATTTTATGTGCTGCAGTCAACATTTGAACTGCCCAGAGGAAGAATCTTTTTAATCTTTTTAAGGTCCCTTAGCGGGTGCAGTTTTAACCTTTGAGAAAACACATTTACTCAGGGATTGGCTTTAATCCAAGAGAGAGTGCATTTCCCAAGGTTCTGAGCTTCTGCTGCCTTCTGTCGTTTTCCAGGTCAGATTTAGGTCCAGGTATTATCACAACGGCACCTCCTGACCCTACTAGGGGCAACGTCAAAAAAGACAAGTGGAGCTTTGGACAAAGTATCAATTCCAGCACCAACCCAAGTCAAAAAAGAGAAAATGATGTACAGTCATTGCAGTTTGTTATCACATGACTGAGAACAAAAATGTAAAAAATTTGATTTTGGAAATCAGTCCATGGTGCAGTGAACATACCCGCAGAAGTCAGAGGAAACCATGAATGTGAAAAAAAAAAAAAAAAAGCTTTAGTCGACAATCTTTGTACAGAAAAATCTTCTGCAAAACTGAAAGAATTTTACAAAAAAAGTGGCAAAAAAAGCATAAGCTTTGAAATGAAGCTATAAACGTTTTTTACCATGTGATTGCCGTTGTTTTCACAAGGGTGATATAGAAGGTGGATACCCCTTTTCCTTTCTATAAATGAAACGTTAGTTTGAAAACTGTATTTTGTGTTTCCTCAGGTTCCCATCATCTTATATTACATTTTGTATGAATGTGTAATATCGCTGAGTAACAAATAGAGAAAATCAGGAAGGCGGCATATACATTTTCATGGCTCTGTACTTATTTAATGTCTCCCCCCACCTGTGTTAATTATGAAAAAAAATTAATAAAGCAATCTTTTTCATCAGGACTGGTGTGCATTCAAGCCTCATAATATAATCTGACCTGTCAAAAAGCAGCTATTCTATCTCATTAAAACAATTGTATTGCTCTCAGTAATGTCTTAGTGAAACCTCTTTTGAATGTGAAACTCCAGAAGTATTGGACACAAATCTGAATATATTAATAAATAAGCACCACGTTGAGCAGATGTTATAGGTGTACTCCTACTGTGCTATACGGCAGTACTGGATTTATTCATTTATCACGGGCTAAAGCTTAAGGAAGACGTTGCATTCAAGTGATAGTGGTGGTCAGATTTTATAGAGGCCAGAATAAATACTTTTTCAGCAAAACTTTCCTCTATACCCTCTGTCTTACCTCTAGAGCACACAGCCTTGAACTAAATCAGCTATCAAACATTGGGAGTGAAAGAATGTGCTGAGCTTGGTGGTTCTTGACTCTGGATGGGGCTCATAACATGAGCCCCATCAAGAGGCATGGCTCAGGAGGTAGAGCCAGCAGGCTAGGAATCAGGAGGTTCCTGGTTCGATCCCTGGCTCCTCCAGAGAATATGTCAAAGTATCCTTGAGCAAGACACTGAACCCCACACTGCTCCTGATGTGCAGAATGGATCTGTGCATGGCAGCCTCCGCCATCAGGGTGAATGTGAGGCATAAATGTAAAGCGCTTTGGGGTCATGTCACGTGACTAGAAAGCGCTATATAAATGCAGTCCATTTACCAAGAACAGACGAGAAACAAAATCATTGATATCAATCAGATATCTATCAGATATCTAAAGCCATTTCTGAGGCTGTGGGACTCCAGTGAAGCATGGTGAGAGCAATTATCTACAAATGGAAGAAACTTGGAACAGTGGTGAAGCGTCTCAGGAGTGGCTAGCCAATCAAAACTCCTTCTGGACCGCATCAACAATTCATCCAAGAGGTCACAAAAAAAGCCCAGATTAACATCTAAATAACTACAGGCCTTACTTGGCTCAGTTAAGGTCAGTGTTCACAATTCCACAATAAGAAAGATACTGGGCAAAAATGGCATCTATGGGAGAGATGCAAGATAAAAACCACTACTGACCAAAATGAACACAAAGACTCATTTCACATTTGCCAGAAAAACATCTTAATGACACCCCCCCCCCTCCTCCTCCTAGATTTTTTGGGACAATATTCCGTGGACTGATGGGTCAAAACTGGAACTTCTTAGAAGACATGGGTCTTGTTAGATCTGGTGTAAAGCTAACACAGCATTCCACAATAAGAGCATAATACCAACTGTTCAACACAGTGGTGGTGGCGGTGTGATGGTCTGGTGCTGCTTTGCTGCTTCAGGAGCTTGGCTTCTGGCCATAATTGATGGAACCATGATTTCTGCTGTCTCAGAGAGTCCTGGAAGAGAATGTCCAGCCATCAGTGTCATGGTTTAGTCCCGCCGGATGCAACATGCAATCCGGCAGGCACTGGGACCATGTACCCAAAGACAGAAAAAGGGACCCACTCGCACAGGCTTGAACGAAAAATAGAAAGACATTTAATAAATATACTTTTCAAAGAGAGAACGCAACAGGGGAGCAGCAGCAACACACAGGGCTAAAATACCAGAATGCAGCTGCACTGCCAATGGGCAGTGCAGCTCTTAAATACTTTAAACTTCACCTCCACTTCAACGAGCAACAGGTGTGGCTCGTTGAAGTGGAGGCGAAGACAGCAGGAGGGGGAGGTACTGCAGGGCAGAACCATCACAATCAGTTTGCGACCTAAAGTTCAAGAGCAGTTGGTTGAAGCAGCAAGACAATGATCCAAAGCACACAGGCAAGTCCACTGCAAAAGATACAAAATGATGTTTTTGGAGTTGCAGTCCTTGAATCTGATTGAGCTGCTGTGGCATGACCTGAAAACAGGCTGAATTAAAACAATTCTGCAAATAAAATGTGCCAAAATTCCTCAAAAGTAATGTAAAAGACTCATTGCCAATTATAGCAAACATTTGATTGCAGTTGTTGCCACTATGGGTGGCACGACCAGTTGTTACCTTTAGAATGGCAATTATGTTTTCACATGGATGATATTTTTAAAAACTATTTACCTTCAGTAAATAAAATGAGCATTTAAAAGCCGCATTTTGTCTTTAATTACATTGTCTTATTGTATTGTATTATTAACATTAGTTGAATAATCATAAAAAATTTAAAATGACAAATAAGCAAATATAGAGGAAATTATAAAGTAAGAAAGTACTTGTTCTGTTTAAACTGTTTAAATAAACTGCATGTGTTGTGTGAACCAAACAAGAATCCATCTACATTCACTGTTTTCTTTAGAGATTTGCGATATTTAATTGAAGGTCCTGCCACATGGTTGTGTGAAGCTGAGACAAATTAACAGGCATTAACTGTGGTCCCATTAGGGAATTCAAACCTAATCAAGGAACTGGTGAGCCGGCTCACGGACCAGTGACAATTACAGTGTTTATGACATGTTAGAACATATCTCAAGGAAAAGTGGACTAGTGACGAATTAATCAAGAGGTTAAATGAAATAGTCCCATGCTGACTATTTGTGATGGCAGCCTCATATTATTGTGGAAAATTGACTCTAATAGCTCAGTGTAGATGCTGAGTTTTGCTCTACAATAATAATTATTATTATAATTATTTCGTTTCAGAAAGTAATTTGTCAATGTTTAAGAACTGTCTCCTTAATGTCTCACCACAAAGCCTGCACAGAAATCTTCAGAAGCATTTTTCCATACAACATATCGTCGGCCTGCTGATAAAACCTTGTATCTTCAAAATGATAAACTTTACAGTAGAGCATAAAAACTGTTTCATTTTGCATGTAAGAATGCAATTGAGCTGTGTTTGGGTAGGATGACTTTTTTAACTTTTTTTTTTTTTTTTTCCAAGAATGTATCCAATCAATAAAGTTTTGTATTTTGCGATGTTTATGTTATACGAGGTTTTGTTTCTTATCAAATTGGAGATACAAGGTTTTATCAGCAGGCTGACGATATTTATTCGAAACAATTGATTTATCAATCCAAAATCAGCCAATGAAATTCCATCCCTGTTGTTATGCCATTTGCCTCCGACTGTTTTTTTTTCTCTCAGTTCCACAATAATTGACTTTTATTGTTTCAATTTTATTCCTCATGTAAACAAACCCGCTAGACCTCTTAACCTTGAAAGAAAATTTCATGAAGTTAAGGAAAAGTGAAAAGGGGAATTCTTAATGGCTGACAACCGCACTGCTAAGAGAATCCAAATGCACTTGCTAGGCCATGTGGTCATGCGTATCTTGCCTGTCAAGTTTGTTTGTTTTTGTGATTGGCCGAATGTATGGGCACTGCTTTAAATATCGCTGCCTCACGGAATTGTGGGATCTCCTTACTTTTCGTAAAGGACGGTTCAGTGTACCCTATGCTAATGGAGACAAGGAAAGGTGCTGCAATGCTTCCTAACATTTGAACATTGAGACAATTTGAACACATTTATCATGGTTGCCACCTCCCAGTCATTTTATAGGAGTTAAGAACTTTCCTATTAGCAAAAAAAAGACCAACACAGCCTCAGATTTATTTTGACTTGTACTTCATTGCAGACAATGAAATATGATATTTAATGTTTGTCTGATCAACATTATGTTATTTGTAAATATGCATCCATTCTTGCTATTCAGGCCTGCAACACAAAAAATATTTGTAAGGGGGGCAATTTAGAGCTGGTAATGAAGTTAAAAAAAAAAGAGTGACTTTGTGATTAGAAACCGCTGATGTCAGCAGGTGTCTGTAATCATGATTTGGTACAGAAGCGGCATCCAGGAAAGGCCCAGTCCTTCTGGAGCAAAGATGGGCTGAACAGTCTACCCTTCAAGCACATCTTGATTGATTAATTTAAAATCATTGTGGTTGTGTACAGAACCAAAATCATGAAAAATGTTCCACTGTCCATATTCTTATAGGTTTGACTGTATACTTTTATGCACTTCTTTTTAGCTTTTAAAAAAAATATTCAGTAAGTGTGTGGTTGTTAATTAGGGTCAGTGCAGTTAATTGTCTGCATAAGGTCAGTTCAATCATTTATATTCTGTGTACTCAGCTGTGGATGTGAAATCATAATGTGGTCCACAGTCCCATAATTTTCATTATCTTGGCTAAATTTTAAATCTCACGTGGACCAAGTCGTCAGGTGGATCATTGTCCTTCTTTCAGCTTATGGTGACTGCATGCTTTGTCCCTGCACAATATCCTGAATTCATATGTATTTCATGTAGGCTTGATATGTAATAATAGATTTTTAGTTTTTATCCAGTTCAGTGAAAAAAGTATTTGCGCCCTTCTGTTTACTTTGATTTTTGCATATTTGTCATACTAAATTATTTCAGATCACCAAACAAATTTGACACAAGATAAAGTTACCTAGTAATAAAAAATACTGTTTTTTAATGATCATTCCTTAAATATATTAAACATCAACTGGCCTTGTGTGAAAAAGGAATTGCCCTCATATTTATTCAGTCGGCCAATTAAACTAATTTCATTGATAACTGGATTAAATTAGGCGAGTCAAAACCAGGCTTGGTTATTGTCAGCCTTGCTGTTAAATTAGGATAGTCATAACAAGGCTCGCTTATATCCAGCTTTGTTGAATTCAAATATTACTTAAATTGATGTTTTCCAGCAAATTGAAGTAGGTTACTTATTTCATCAAACAGCAAATTCTTTCACCATATTAAGAAATTCCAGAAGAGACGAGAAAGAACGTAATTGAAACTAATCAGTTTGAAAAGGATAGCTAAGCCTGAGGCTCTGAACCTCCAGGAAACCAGATTGAGACTGAGCCATTACTGGGAAAAAGAGAAAGCTTGGAATAGAATAAAATCTTCCCTGTAGAGGCTGGCCAGTTAAAATTTCTCCAAAAATGCTTTGACGACTCATCTTGGAAGGCATGAAAGGACCCAGACTAGTACATCTAAATCCATATTTCTACTGGAGGGTGCAGTAGAGCTTGACAACATTGGAAGTGCACTTTTAGCATTTCAACTGTAAAAGTTGTGGATTGTATGAATGGAAGTTGTGGATCGTATGAATGGAATGGGAAGTATAGACACAGACCATTAGGGTTCCAAGTCTACCATTGAAAGCGAACCCAAGACTATGTGGTGGAGCAAGAAATACAAAAGCCATTGATTGGAGCATAAACATGAAGCAAAAACTTGAATTGAGAAAAACATGAATCCTGCTGCCTACCAGAAAACCTTTAAGCAAAATATCTGGTGATCTGCTCAAATGTAAATGGGCTATGCAAGAAAATTACCAGTACACAGCACAAAAGCAAGTTCACGTCTGAACAGTAAAAAAGTAATAAAATTAAGATTTCATGAGTGCCTAGTGAAGTTCTAAAAGTAGTGCCATTGGGATGTTGTGACAGGACCTTAAACTGACTGTTCATACTCAAAAACCCTATAATGTGGCGGAATTAAATCAATTCTGCAAGGAAGCCTCGGCTGAAATTCCTACACTGTGATATGTGACTAGTCTCATGCTATCC